ACTAAAATGCTTTTACATTTTATTATGTTTCAAATTATTTTATAATAAAAATAAATAAATAAAATAGAGTAAAAAAAAAAATGATAGTTAAGTCAACTTTGTTACAAAATCCAGACCTCTCTTATTGACTGACCGCATCTTTTAGCAATTTATTTTTTGGTAGCTACCTTAAAGTTAGTGCTTTTTCGAGTGCGAAGACCACCCATCCAGAGATCGGCTAGAATAATCTGACTACACGGATGTGCTAGTAGAGCCCGATGGTTTGCTGTCACAGCTAGGGAAAGACACGTTTGACCTGACCAATTTTTCAGTTCTGAAGTCAATAACTGCTGCGTTTGATCATCATCTTGGCGGTAACAGAAATCCAATAGTTCTAATGCTACAAAAACATTTTTTTTTTATTTTAACAGAAACATGTCTTTCTATAAAAAATTGTTACATAATCTCTTTGAATATCTTGCAATCAATATTTTAAGAGGATTTTTCCTATAGTTCATAATGTATGGTCAATTATAATAGCAATTTAATATTTAGTAAAAACCTAACTTATACTATTACTCGTAGAAGTGTTTTTTGTAGAGTAAGTTTTTCAACTCGTTGCAACTGACAAAAAAACTGCTGTAATAATATCTTTATTTTATTTACTTCACCACTAACAGTTATTATTCTCTGCAAACTGTTCGTCTTAGTGTACATGACTCATTTCAGGAAAAACCGAAATTTGCACGCCTCGATCAATTGCAACGCTAGTTATTTAGGTATTTCTTTATTATAAATTATTCAAAGGGTGGAGAGTATTTTTCTGCTACGGTTACAATAAAAGTTAGATCATAAGAACTATTTCTTTTTGTTTCACATGAAAAAAAGGAGCGTAACTGCCGTTATAAGCTCATGTTTCAATCAAAATATTTGTTACGTAACGACACCTAAATACAAAAAACGACTTAATTTTTTTTGCGTCGTAGAGTTTAAAAGTGATTAATATTAGTAGGTATTCATTTCATAGTTTTATAAGGCTTGTATGCTGTTTAAGTAGTGGCCCTAAAATTTATAATGTTTTTAATGTTTCTATGAAGAACGATTTCGCAAACGCCAATCACAGTAATTTTGTATTATACTTCATTTAATAATATTATGAATTCTACAGCAGTTTGATGTATTCCATATACGTTTATTAATTCTACAATAACTATTTGTCAGTAGTTAGGGCCCAAGAATTATGTATTTTTTCAGTCACAAATAAATAAAAAAGTAGCAAAAATGAAATACCTCTTTTAGGTCTTTGTCGATCATAGCCTTCGAAATATGCTAGTTTTAATAAAATATCTAGATACATGTATAAGTGTGAGTGTGTACACTGTGTACACGTGGGATTGTGTAAGCTTATACATCATATTATTGTAAGTTTTAAGACTGTCCTTATATTTTTTTATGTACGTATTTTTCTTGTGTTTTATTGTAATCTTGACTTAAAATGTGAGGAATCTGTGTTTCTGTTTGGTTAAAACAAAAATTATATAAATAATAAATTTTTGTAAAAATACCAAAAAAAATTTTGTCAAATGATTTTGTTTCTAAGAAAGTTGTTGACTGCTTATTATTATCATGTACATTGTATTATTAAACATATTTTAGTTTATTAAAATATTAAATGTAAAATTCAAAGCATATTATGAAAAAAAATTACTGTGACATAAGATTATCTGTCACATTAATTCTTATTGTTTAAAAAGAAGTGACAGCTCTAACGGTTAGCAGAATAGAAAGTTTGTTATAAGTTTGGGTTCTTCTTATTATATACAAAAACATTTTACTTACTTAGTGACTTTTTTAGGAAATAAAAGTACTGTTTTTGTTGCTCTTTAAACAGTCAACAATAGTTTAGTTTATTATTAATTAATAAAAACCAGTGGACAGTGGGTGCTTGGGTACCCAAGTAAGAAGNAGCGAAGCAGAAAAAATGTTTTCTGGACTCGAATTTGCAACACTGCGTTTGGTGGAATGAAACATGTGAAAGAGCAGGCAGACTTAAAACAGCAAAGTTCAAATAACTAAAATATCGTTGCAAATTGTCCGACGTTATTGAATACAAAAAAACTTGCCGCTTTTATGGTTTAATGGAAGTTGAGGAGAAATTCGAGCGATTTTGAATCATCCCAACATTTTGGAGTATCAGTCCAAACTGTTGGAAACATTTTTGTTTTATGGATAACTTTTATGTCAAAAACATGGTCAATCATTGATACATGGCCCACGAAAGAACTCTTTAAATATTATATCCTTCAAACTTTTAAAACACATTTTACATTAGCACGTGTAATCAGTGATGGTACTGAAATTAAAATTGACAAACCAAGCAATCCTCTTTTGCAGCAGGCATCATTTAGTACGTATAAACACAGCAATACCGTCAAATCTTTGATAGGTACGAGCCCAGGTGAATTGATTTCTTATCTTTCTCCTGTATATGCGGGTTCAGCTAGCGATAAACAAATGGTTGAAGGAAGTACTATCATGATTAAATGCGAACCTGGTGATGCAGTCTTGGCTGATCGTGAATGGATCAATGTCCAAAACATATTTTCACCCCATGATGTTACTGTAACTATTTAAAGTTTTGTTATAAGGGCAAGGGATTTCTACCGCATCAGACAGTCATGAAAGATACACTACTCGCTAGGCATCGAATACACATTGAACAAACTATTGTAACAATAATCTTGTAACAGTAAGATTTTTCTTTGTTTACACTTACATCAGGTACATAGCTCGTTTCTTTTTTATTTTATTGATGATACAGCTACGTACATGCAATGCTATCATACGCCTTATAAAAATATTTTTCAAGCAGTGTCGGTCATAAATCCTTCATAATTTGGTCACCGTTTCTCTAATAAATTCATCATCCCGTTCCACAGGTATTCGAGCGAGTTCTTTAAAAGTGTAACAAACCCTTTGAGTAACAAACAATCGACCCTGAATTTGATAATAATATAGGTGACTTTTCTTCAGTTTCAAATTATTATCATCTCTTGTTAGTTATGGAGCAGTAAATTCGTTTATGTACATAAATTGAGCTGAATATGGACATTTGATCTTGATCACTGTCAAAACATTCAAGAGCTGTCGTGACTTGCTCCAAGATAGAGATGACTTGGAAATGTAAGAAGTCCACATTATTGAATATTGAGGAAGTTACCGTAATACTGATTAAATATTTTAATAGCAACAGATTCATAAATTGTTCCATGCTCTGTTGGTTTTGATGGAAATGGTTTAGAGTTAATCAATTTTCTGGCCAATTTTTTAGAACTCTCTTCATCAACAAGATGACAGCAGGCATGGAAGTTTGATGCTGTGATTCTGTTTTTTCTTATTTTATGCCACTTTTTATCATCACTTTGCCCAATTGTTGTGAATTAAATTTCTTAAGCATAATCTGTTGTGACATCAAGTAAAAATAACGACTTCAGAATAATGCCGATGGGGCTATATTTGGAGTAAGTGTGATCTAAGCACACAGCAAATGGATTTGCTGGTGCAAGTATTATTTTTATTGGAATGCTTGAGTTATATCCTCCAGCAATAAAAACATTCTGGAAGTAATTTTTGTACCACATCTTGTAGTCTTCATCATCCGTATCACTGTCATCCTGGTACTTCTTTTGAATAAAATCTTTATCTTTCACTGGTGAACCAGTGAACTTTGTACCAGGCTTGTGAAAGACCTGTAGCTTTTGGGTACATGTTTGTTATAAAATCACAGATTTCTTGGAGTACATATCCTTTGAAGCTAGTTATGATGATAAAAAAGTATCTGTCCAAGCATTATCACTAGGGATTGCAATCCGGTCCGGCAGATCCGGCAATCCGGCGCATCCGGTACTGTTTTTTTACTTACCGGATCCGGTAATAATTGTTGGATCCGGTAAACGGATCCGATAAAACTGAAAATTGCCGAATACTCATGCGTGCTGTACCCTTTTTTACATGTTTAATTTAAAAAATTTGCAATTTAACATGTAACCTTATGGAAAAATCACTTAAATGCATTTATAAGATCTGTATGAACCTCCCAATTTTTGTTCGTATGAAAGATTACTATTAGATAAACCTGTTTCATTTTCAAATAGATCTATAATTTTTTTTTTTCTCCTAATAACGCAAAAAAGAACGGGGTTAAGTACGCATAAAAGCGTGCATGTAAGTTCATCCTTATAAGAAAAATAATTTCCAGTGTTGCAGCATATATTTGCGCTCCTACCATCTCTATGAATTTTGAGCTGAACTTTTACCCTACTAACTATGTGATAAACGTCATCCTTATGTCAAAAAATCACCTCAATCACAAAGGAAAAATTGTGAAAGAAGAAAACGCAATAAGAATCAATTATTGTATTTATACAGTACGAAATTTTTTTTTTTTTTTCACGTCCTGCTGTCTTAAGCAACCA